CCATCAATGATGATGGCATCATAGACAAAGATGTAGGGATTTTGTTCTGTGCAGAACATTCAAATGTAGAGCTGAAATTGGCAGGGTTTTCTTGGTATGAAAACTCATTGTTGCACCTAAATTGTTGGTCCGCTATGTCACCATAGTTTCACATTTTATCATCAAGTACACTTTTTCCCCATCGTAAGCATCTGCAAACTGAGATAGCATGTACATCAAAAGGGGGTATAAACATCTGCAGCTTCAAGTGACTGGTAGTTGATTACTTCTATAATTAACATGTCTGCATGTGTGCGTTTGCTTGAGTTGGATTGGTTTACTTTTGAGAAAAAATATGCCTTGGGATTTTGGGGGTATAACTCTTCGATTGCTTTAACGTTTGCTTGGTGTATGCAGTATGCTTGTAATTGAATTTAGTTGTAGGTCATTTCAAAACTTACTCTTTTCATTACCCATATTCAGCCACAGGTGAGCCTCCTTTAGTGCCTTGGGGGTCTGTTTGTAGGGGAAAGTTTGGAGGTTTAGTTTACATCCTGAGAATAGAACATTTCTAAAACTGGTGAAAGTATTATGTTGATTGACACCCACTTTGTTAATATTTTGTAACTATTCAAGTGAGTGTCCAAATTTTTTGTGGTAGATGAGTTTAACTCAAGAAGAAAAGGATATGATCCGAATGCCAGATGAAAAAGTGACTTTATTAACACGGCAACAACTACTAGGAAGAAGATGTGATATTTAACACGGCATCAAGTACAAGTGAAAATGGATCACTCGAATTTGATATGTTTCAACAATAACAAATGCACGAAATTCGAGAAAGTATTGCAAATGCAATATGGGATGATTACAATGTATAAGATGTCGAAGTACGACCGTTGCTTGATTAAAATAATCTATTTGAACTTTCAGTGCTTGGGGGAGCATTTATGTTAAAATTTTGGATTATTTCAAATGTTTGTAATTGTGCAATTCTTTTCCAAATATTAAATCAACATTTTTGGAAATATTGAAATGGAAAATTGAAAAACTCTGGTAAACATGTTTTCTGATTTAGAAAACAAAAAACTGGAAAATGAAAACAGAAAACTGGAGTTTTGAAAACAGAAAATGAAAAAACAAAATTATCTCGTAGCTAATCTTTGAAATTTTATTAATGTTGTTATTTTTGGTACTATTATTATTTTATTTATGAATCTCTGAATTATATATATTTGCATATTATACCCTATATTATTATTATTATTATTATTATTATTATTATTATTATTATTATTATTATTATTATTATTATTATTATTATTATTATTATTATTATTATTATTATTATTATTATTATTATTATTATTATTATTATTATTATTATTATTATTATTATTATTATTATTATTATTTATAAATATACTCCGTACCCGCCTAGTTAGCTTTTTTGCATTTTAAACGCGTTTTAAATATGCACTGTTTTTTTTACTACAAAACACGTTTAAAACGAAAAATAATGTCGGACCATTCAAAAAGGAAAAAACCTCTATTTCCCGTATAATACGTATTTTTCCTGTATATTACAAAAACAGGAACATGAATTGACCAATTGAATCAATGCATTAAATACACAGGAGATCAATTGTAGTTTAAAAGTAAAAATGAAAATGTCCTCCCCGTGATCCCATGTTTTTGTATTGTCACAATACAATTATTAAATACTAAAATTAATTGTATGGCAGCTAAACCTAGCATCCTTAAAGACTAAAACTTAAAATACTACGTAGTATTAGATTTATGATGTTTTTTCAAACAAGCATATCAAAATTAAGGTTTTTCTATACCTCACATTTTTAGTATAAATTTTTACACATAAACAATAATAAGCGCAACAGTCGCACAACTTGTCTCATATGTCATCTTGATGAGAATGATGAGTTTAACTTGAGTGTTATTTGATAATCAAATACAAATAATGATTTTAACTTAATCTCATTCTATTTTTATTATGCCTTATTTTTTGACGTTATTTTACAAATTTATGTCTTGGACATTATAACTACTTTTATTTTTGTCATTGGCTAGTGTAACTAGAATTATTCTTTTATGTAGCAATGAGATTTTCTACTGAATATGTCTATACTTTTATAGTTTTATTTCTTTTTACTATAATATGTGTATACTTTTATGTGTATAATATGAGATTGTGTGAAGTATATAATTTAAATGTTCAAAATAATATGCCGTTTTTTTTCGAATTTTTGTAATAGATAATGTAATCTATTTACACATTTTTTAAAAGTCAGTGTTTTTTTCAACGAATTTTTGACCATTTTTCATTCATGTCACCGAATAAAACGTGTGTATGTATTAAACCTCATTTAATTCTCGTACTGTATTTAACTAACTATGCGTACATGTATCTTGTAATTTTGAAGTTGTCGTATTGCCTTACCTGTATGGCCGTATTCGCGTATCGGCGTATCGGCATATCCGTATCCGTGCAACATAGGAAATCACAAAGAGGGATTCTATTCAGGGCCGTTTTTTAGGGGGTTAATTATGTTATCCGAAACAGGGCCCCATATTTTTAAAAATTTATTAGTATTATATATAGTAATATTAATATTATATAGTAATATTAGTACTCCATATTATATAGTAATATTACATACGTATTATATAGTAATATTATATACGGAGCATTAAAATACAATTAGTAAGGAAGAAAAATATAAATTGATCATTTTTCATTGGTCCTTTTTGTTCTCTTCAATTCAAATTGCTTGAATAATGTGTTGTGTATGTTTAAGTCAAGTATTAAGTAATTTGTAGAGAGAAAAGTTATCACTAACTCCGTCCCATTAGAAGGTTCTCGTCCACTATTCACATGGTCAAATTAAATCATTTTTAATCTTTTACTTTATAAATCAAATTTTTATCAAATTTACATTTTCTTTATCAGGCTTTGTAGCAGTTTTAATGTAGTTTCTGAATATGTAAATTTTATCTACTAAAAATAATTAGAGTGTGAACAGGGATTAAGTTGTTTTATCGTCAGTCAAGCATTGTAAACCATCAACGGGAACCTTCTTCCGGGATGGAGGGAGTACATCATTTAATGACTATTCAATAGATTTAAATATAAGTGTTTAGATTGAGATTTTTTTAGTTTTTTTATATTGATGTGGGGCCTCGATTTTACATTTGGAATCGGAACTCCCAAATTTATTAGACGGCCCTGATTCTATTGGACTCGGAAAAAATCGGGATGATTAAGGGATACCCAAAGATATGTGGACTTGAGGTAGAAAAGAGGGGTGATGAGAATTGGAGGGCAGCGTCTCCCCCAAACCTTCCCATTTAATACAAGTATCATTGTTCTCTGACCCTAATTCCATTTACTATCTACTTTGGACTGGGCGGAATTTGAATGCAGAGAAAGGAAGAGACTTGGCTGAAAGAATGTGACTAAGGGGCAACAGGTGGAGTTGTGGGAATGGGAAGAAAGGCTTAATGATTCACTCCACAACTGAATGAGAAGAGGTGATGTTTCGTGTAATAAAATATCATTCCCATACCGTAAATGTGTATGCCTGTGGTAATGATTATATAGGGTTTTAAAAGACTAGAGTTCTGTAGATTTCATGGATTTCCAATGACTGTAGGTAATAAATGTTTGAAGGTTTTAAGTCCCGACTTATTGAAAGCAGTATAAGTAGTAAATATTGACTTTGGATAGTTCGGGACCTAAAACCTTCTAAACCTATATTGTCCAATAGTTTTTTAATACTTTTAAGAGATATATATATTTACATAGTATATTTCAGAAACTACCCTAACTAAAGTTTATCTAAAAGCACAAATAAGACTACTACTTTTTAATTTTCTTCCGGAACTAAACATTGATTTCTACCCTAAATACCCCTAAGTGGCTAAGAGTATTAATTCATAATGAAATGTCTTAATTCATAAATAAATAAATAAATAAACGTAAAAAATAATAAAAAATCTCATAAAAATATAAAAAATTAATAAAGTATTTATAAAATAAATTTTTGAAAAGTATTTTTTTATTGATTTTTTAAAAAATCAATAAAAAATAATAAAAACCCATAAAAAATTTAAAAAATATAGCTATGCCTTTCCCACCGCCTCCCAACACCACCACCACCGATTGGTGAAAATTCTACCATTTTTTGTAAATAATGCCATTTTTTCTGAAAATATCAAGAAAACGACATTATTACTCTTCATAATGCCGAAATTATCACTGAATTTGCCATTATTATGGTATTACTAAAAATGTTGGTAGATTTTCAACCGGTGATGGGAAGTGGTGGTACTGAGGGTGGCAGAGGCGCGGTGTTTTTTTTGTTTTTATTTATTTTTAATTTTTTGTTTTTTAATTTTTTTGTTTTTTATTTTAAAAATATTTTATAACTTTTTTATAGTTTTTTTGTTTTTTACTATTTTTTACGTTTTTATATTTTTTATGATTTTATTATTAATTAAGACATTTCAAAAGCTACAAGGGTATTTGTCCAAACACACATTAATAGTACTGGGGAGGGGATTTGAAAGATGTATTCCTATTTGAGCTCTTTGATTATTTTTGTCCTATATAGCTAATTCACTCTTTATATTTCTAGTACAATACGGTATTCTTAAATAATACTCCATTTATTCTGCTAAAATTGCTTCATTTTACCTTTTTGTTCCATCCCACTAACATTGTCCTGTTTTACCTTTTCGATCTGTTCACTAAGATTGTCTCATACCATATTTGGTACAATTTGTGTAACTCTAAAGCATTCTTACTTTATTTTAATTTATTAATTCAATATCAATCACATAAAACACTTTTCATTGGTTTGCGTGTGATTCCCTCTTGTTCAACTGGAACGGATACCTTCAAACTTAAACTTAGATGATCAAATGATGGAAGAAAATTTAAGGTATTATTGGGGATTGTATGCTAAAAATATCTTCTTGTTCAGATTGTTTGTTGCCTTTCAATTTTAGAAACAATTCTTCCGTGTGTATAAATTTAGTTAGAAAAAGGGTCAAATAAGCCCGTTTACTATTACGAAACCATCACCTAAGCCCTTCTACTCAAAAAAGAATCACCCAAGTATACCTAATTTCAAAAAACCATCAATATGGTCAAGTGACCAAATAGCAACCTGCTATAACAAGTCAATTGACGAAAAGTCAATTGAGTCCTCGTACTTATTTGTGAATCAATTAAGTCCACAAAGTATTAAAAAAGATTCAATTAGGCCATTTAGCCGGTTGGATATAAATGTTGCCGGTAATAGGTGACGTGGACACCCATGTGGCAATGATTCTGATTTTTCGTTCATTACTTTTTTCTTTTTCTTTTACTTTTTCTCTTTCTTTATTCTTTCCCTGACTTCTTCTTCCCATCCTTAAAGTTGCAGCGACCAGTCTCTTTATTTCTTTTCTTCTTCTTTTTCCCGTGCCCTTTCTTTCCCCTCCCCCAATTTCTTTCTTTTCCACGTTCTTTTCTTTCTTTTTTCCAGTCTTCCCGATTATCTTTCTTTGGATGGGCGGCGGCGGCGGATGGAGATATTGTGGCCAACAGTCGGCGGTTGAGGAAGACATGAGAGACCAGCGGCGTACGATGGCAGTTAGGTAAGTTTTGGTTGTGGACGATGAGCGGAAGATAGAAGAAATCACAGGCGAAGAGCGACACACAACGTTGGTTCGCGAAATCCGGATCTACCGGCTAATCGGCAGTTAGAAAATTGAAGTTTTGTGGACGACGGCTGGCCGCCAGCGGCGGGTGAGGAAGACTTGAGCAGCGATGGTTGATGTTCTTTTGTAGAAAGAATTAGAATAAGAAAAGAAAGAGAGAATGAAAGAAACAACAAAATAAAGAAAGGGGGAAAAACGCAGAAATAAGTGCGGGTAAAGAACAGGGAAGAAGACGCGTGAGGGGAGAATAAAGAGAGAGAAGAGGAAGAAAGAAAATAAAATGAAAAAGAGGGAAAAAATCCATGTGTACTGCCACTGTACACAGTTTACCTGTTAACCGGATCACAACCGGTTAAATGGCATAATTGAATGTTTTTTAACACTTCAGGGACTTAATTGATTTCGAAATAAGTACGAGGACTTAATTGATTTTTTGACAATAGTACGAGGATTTATTTGACAGTTTTCCCTTTTTTATACCCCAAAGGCTTCAAGCTAATTTTCTCATTGGTTTTTCGTTATCATATTCTCTCTTTCAACTTTGCTTTCTCCTAATTTTTTTGTCTTCATTGTTCTCTTCGTTCCACATTTCCTTTTTCTTTTATCTTTGCATTGTTTTCTTTTTCCTTTTTACTTTTTTCTTCCTTCCTTCTTAGGTTATTTTAATTTGCATACGAGTCCACACCCGACTGAAACATACCATATCAGATTAGATCAGATTTAACCAGGTCATGTTATATTTAGATAATAATAAAATACACATTCACCAAATGTTTACTAGATCAGACCCGAACACGACTTAAACATATTGGTCAAGACTTACACAAATCAAATCACATCATCAGGATTTTTTTGTTCAATCAAAAACATTTGTTACCTCTCTTTCTGTTGCATCATGTGTCACTCCAAAAGTCCAATTGTATTATTTATGTACACGTTTTCAAAATTCTATAAAGTGAGGCAATCAAAAAAGTGGTCGGAAAATCCAATTTTAAAGACAACAAATGTCTAATGTTGGGAAAAAAGTTTCATACATGGCCAGAAAATTGTGTAATTTAGAACCGATTTTCATAAATCTTCTTACAGATTTTGTTTTTTTGTAAAATTATGTCACAGACAAAAACTATCGAAGGAGTTCATGCTCACAGACAATAATGTCCATAACAGACTTAAATGTTTAAGTCAGTAAAAAATGTATTTTTTTGTACACATTTTGAAAATCTTTTGTATGTGCCGACAACTTTTGTTAGACGAGTTAGGGAACAAGCAAAAAACAATCAAAGCCCGTTTGGTAACACGAAAATCGGTTGATTCAGCTGAAATTTATGAAGTTCTGGCTGAAGTGACTACATTGGCTGATTCTGCTGATTTAAGAAAATGCTTTGATTAAAATATAATTTATTAATAATGAAAAAATTATATGCAAAATAGCTAAAATGGTCATCTAATGTAACTTCAGCCAATATGGCAAAAAAAGTAACACTAACCTTACCTTTTCTTATTATTACACAATTCAGTGCACGAAAATAAATGTTACGTGTTTGGTGAAAAAGTTGACTGATAAGTCTCATAAGCCGAATAACAGTGTTACCAAACGGCCTCTCAAAAAATACATGATAAAAACAGTAAATAGATGTCAAAAAAAGTGTACAACTTTTTTGCCGCGTTTGATTTTTCTTTTAGGTTATGCCAGACATTTATTGTCTGGATGATTTTAATTAATATTTTATCTACGGTATAACTTTAAATACAAAAAATGTCAGTGCGGAACATTAGAAAATTTGTACGAAAGTGTATAATTTTTTTACTATTTCTAAAGTTAAAATATTAAAAATGTCAATGTTATATAAATAACATGGATAATAACTCCAAAAAAACATGGATAATAACTGAAAGATTTAAAGTGTGAATTTTCTATTAAAAAAAAGAATCTTTATTAATAAGAGCCCGTTTGGCAACCCAAAAATTGTCTTATTTAGTTGATTTTACTGAAATTTATGAAGTTCTGGCTGAAATGGCTGCATTGGCTGATTCTGCTGATTTAAGAAAAAAATATTTTTGAAATATATTTTATTAATAAAATTAAGAAAAAATTATATGTAAAAACAGCTAAAATGGTCATCTACAGTAACTTCAGCCAATACAACCAGAAAAGTAACTTCAACCTCACTTTTTCTTATTAGTACGTATTATACAATTCAGCGCCCGAAAACAAAAGTTACGTGTTTGGTGAAAAAAGTTGACTGATAAGCCTGATAAGTCGGAAAACAATGTTACCAAATGACCTCTAAATCATATACTCCTAACTTACTTTTCAAGAATGAGATTATTTATGAGCCAAAGATGATATTTTATTGACATAATTAGAAAAATGCCAAAAAAATTCTTAGAGAAAGACAATAAATAGAAAAGGAAAAATGGGGAAAAAGAAGAACAAACAAAAAAAACGATAGAACAATATGGAGTACACTGGATGACTGGAGTAATAAGAAGAAAAAAATTAAGCCAACAAATGGCTGCAGCGAGAAACAATCGGATGGCTCATAGTTAGACCATGAAAAGAAGAAAATGGGAAAATGAAAAAAAAGGTCAAAACTTATTATAGCAGGTAAAATAACAACCCAAAATCATTTTATCCGTGAAAAGCTCAAATTTTTTAATTCTTGCTCTCATTTGGTGCAAACGTGACCAAATTTCATGACTTGTCTTAGATTATCAAGAAATCGTATGGGAAGAATTGCAGGAAGTATATTGATGAAAAACTGAATACATGGAAGAAGGTGATAATGTTCATCACAGAGACTATACAGATGATTGTAGCTTATTATATACAAGAGAAAGGAAAAGAAGAATCTAGAAGAAAAAATAACTAACTAACTAACTAACAATATGAGCTAGTTAAATAATAGACTATCAACCGGGAGTTATAGCCATTGTGTTATCCTCTTCTTTCAGATTGTTTTTCTTCTTTTCTTTCTTCAGTGTTAATAGCCCCCCGCAAGCTGGAGCACATAGGTTAATGAGGCCCAGCTTGAGATGAATATCTTTGTAGTATGTGGGATTTAGAGGTTTGGTAAGTGCATCTGCAAGCTGCAAGGTAGAGGATATAGGAAGCAGTTTTATCAATCCTCTGCAAACTTGTTCACGAACTGTGTGACAATCTAATTCAATGTGTTTTGTTCTTTCGTGGAAGACAGGATTAGATGCTATGTGTAAAGCTGATTGATTATCACAGTATAGAAGAGCAGGAGACTTGAAAGATGCATTGAGATCTTGCAGAATATAAGTCAGCCATTGAATTTCACATGTAGTTTTAGCCATGGCTCTATATTCTACTTCACAAGAACTACGTGATACAGTTTTCTGCTTTTTAGTCTTCCAAGAGATTAGTGAGTTTCCCAGATAGATGCAAAAGCCAGTGATGGACCTTCTAGTATCTGGGCAGGATGCCCAATCACTATCACTATATCCCTTTAATTGAATGGAAGAGTGAGATGAGAAAAATAAGCCCATAGCAGGTGATCCTTTGAGATATCTAAGAACCTTTAGGGAAGCTTCATGATGCTTAGATGTAGGTTTGTCCATAAACTGTGCAAGTTGCTGGACAACAAATGTGATATCTGGTCTTGTGTTAGTTAGATATAGTAGTCTCCCAACAAGTCTCCTATAGGCTGCAGGATCAGAATAAGGAGGGCTGTCATCCTGATGAAGATGAGAGTTAGGTTCCATGGGTGTGGATGAGGGCTTACACCCTAAGTAGCCAGCATCTTCAAGGATGTCCAATGTATATTTTCTTTGATTTAGAATGATTCCATAATTGGATCTGGCTATCTCAAATCCAAGAAAGAATTTTAGGTCACCAAGATTCTTGATAGTAAAGGCTTTATCAAGAAGTTCTTGGATGTGATCAATCTCTTGTAAATCAGTCCCCGAGAGTATTATGTCATCAACATACACAAGTAAAGCAGTAAAAGAATGTTGTTGATGTTTAACAAAAAGAGAATGATCACTTTTTGACTGAGTATATCCACACTGGATCAAGAATGTAGATAGTTTAGCAAACCATTGTCTTCCAGCCTGTTTTAAGCCATAAATTGACTTTTTTAGTTTGCAAACTTGACCAGGGAACTCAGTTTCTAGCCCAGGTGGTAATGTCATGTATACTTCCTCATTTAAATCTCCATGAAGGAAGGCAGTATTGACATCCAGCTGCTTAAGGTACCACTTATTTATAGCAGCAAGGGCTAGAAGTAGCCTGACTGTTGTGAGCTTGGCAACAGGTGAGAAAGTTTCTTTGAAATCTATTCCTTCTACTTGTGTATACCCTTTAGCCACAAGTCTGGCTTTATGTCTTTCAATGCTACCATCTGCCTTGTGTTTGACCTTGAATACCCATCTACATCCTATGGGATTCTTTCCAGGAGGTAGGTCAGTGATGATCCAAGTACCAGTGTTTTTCAAGGTTGTAAGTTCATTATTAATGGCTTCCTTCCAGTGATCATACTGAACTGCTTGTTTGAATGTGCGAGGTTCAGTGTGATTAGCTGTCATGGATAGGATGGTAGCTTTGTAGTCATGAGTTAATCTATCATATGAGAGATAAGATAAAATAGGATGAGGTGATGTATGACTACTACTGTAAACATGATTGATCAGATTACAGTGATAGTCTTTTAAGTAGGTGGGAGGTTTGTGATATCTGTTGCTTCTTCTGAGGTTATTTGAGTCAGTGAGAGTGGTTTGAGTTGATGTTTGAGGTATGGGTAGTGTTAGGGATTGAGAAGATTCACCAAGAGTTCTGGTAGAATTATCTTGGTGGTCTGTGTGTGATAAGTTGGTTTTAGGAGGAATGAAAACATCATCATACATGGATTCATTTTGAACAGGAAGAGGCAATGTGTCTGTATGAGAAGATTGATGTCTGAAAAGATAAGGAAATATTGTCTCATGAAAAATGACATTTCTGGTGATAGATAACTCTCTGGTTTGTAGGTTCAGAACTATGTACCCTTTAGTTTCATCCTTGAATCCCAGAAATATGCATTTGAAAGCTCTTGCATCAAATTTCTTTCTATTGTGGTTGATGGTGCTAGCAAAACATAAGCATCCAAATACTTTCAGATGATGTAGGTTTGGTTTCTTTTGATAGATTAACTCATGAGGTGTTTTATTCTTCAGTAAGGGTGTAGGTAAGAGATTGATAATATGAATAGCATGTCTTACATCATAAGACCAGTAGACCTTTGGTAAGGAGCTTTGTAGTAGTAAGGATCTGGCTACATTGGCTATATGTTGGTGCTTCCTTTCAACCATTCCATTTTGTTGAGGTGTGTAGGGGCATGAAGTTTGATGTATGATCCCTTTGTTTGAGTAGAATTGAGGCATGAAGAATTCTGGTCCATTATCACTTCTTATTGTTTTTATCTTTACACTGAACTGTGTATCAAC